GGTACGCACTTGGGCGCCCCTGGCCATGGCGGCGAAGGTGGACCTGAACACCTCCACCGACTGGAAGGAGGCAAAATGTAAGTGTGAGCAGAGGGGACTCGGGCGAGGGCCGCCCCACGTGGGCTTCCGCGGCTGGACGGCACCCCACCAGCAACTCTTCCTCCTGAGACCGGTGGAAGTTGGAGGCCCCCTATACCGTGGTCAGGACTCCCCAGTTCCCAACCACGCCTCCACCCACCCCCCGCGTTCCCAGCCCCACAAACCAGTTCACCCCCACCGGGTCCAGGTCCCCTGTCAGGAGCGGAGCGAAGAAGGTGGCCGAACCCCACTGGAATGGGTCACGGCACCCCCAGAGGTCCCCGCAGAGATCCTCCAGGACCTACCACCTTGCTCCGTTGTGCAGGAGGGAAACTGAGGCCCAGTGCTTGAGCGGAATAGCCCAAGGTCACTTGGGAGCTGGTGGCAGAGCTGACCTCAGGTTCCCGAGCTCCCCGTGTTTTGCATAGTGTGGCTCCTCAAGTGGCGGCGTGTTGGGCACAATGGCAGGGAATGGGCTGAGGGGAGCGCCCTCCACTGGTGTCCCACCTGGTGGGATCAGATAACTCCAAGGAGTGGCTTCCCTGGGCAGGCCTGTCCCCCCTCCACCTCCTCCCCTGTCAGTCCTGCCTCTCTTGGCACGTGGTCTGGTGCCCTTTCGCCCTCATCCCTGGCCTCCTGCCACTTGTTAACAGTCCCTGTCCCATTCCTGGGGACACAGAGCAGAGTGACTGGGGAGCAGGGCAGAGATGGGGCATTGTGTCTGTGAGGACTGCGACATCACCCCCACAGGACGGGCAGGAGTCCCAGAGCTGGACTCTGCCCCCGTCCCCGCCCCCCTCCCGCACAGAGCCAGGAAGGGAGGCAGCCTGACCTGCAGAGCCCCAAATAGCCCAGATGCCAGTTCCAGCTGCCCCTGCCCTTCAGGGTCTGCTCCCTGGGCCCTGGTGGCCATTGCCCGCTGGATCCCCTTTCAAAAGGGCAGGGAACGCAGCTCATTGGCTGCGCCCGCCCGTGGAGGGTTTTGGCCAATGAGGCTGAGAAGGCAGGCCTTGGGCGGCCATGGTTGGGGGTATAGGGAGGGCGTCCTCTCCGGATTGGAGGTAGAGTTTGAGATGATTTACCCCCATCAGGAATCGCTTGGCCTGCGCTGGGATCTTAAAGCGCCCGCAGAAAGCACTTGACTGTGCTCTGTGAGCACAACGAGTGCTTCTATGTCCTCAGCGCTGGCCCCAGAACACCGATCAGGGCAGGGAGCAGGGGGCTGGCAAAGTCCCCCGGCAGGGGACTGTCCCACAGGGAGCCTGGCTTCTCCTCTGTCAGGGGACAGTAACGGTACCCAGGATGGTAGGAAGGAGCTAGGGAGGCCAGGGGCCCAGGCACCAGGCTCAGATCTGCCTCAGTTTTTAGGATCCAGCTCCCTACCACCACCCATTCCTTGGTGCCCCTGTAAACTTCCAGATCTCATGAAGCTGACAGGCTAGGGATTCCCGGGGCCCTACGGTGTCTCTGTCCCTCTGCTGGGATGTCCACTCCTTCAGGCAGTCCACTTTTACTGAGTGCTATGTGCAGCACTGTTTGGTGCTGGGGATGGAGCCACGAGTGAGACAGGGAGGGCCCTGTCCTCACGGAGCTTCTACTTTGCGGGGAGGAAACTGGTAGAGAATTTGGTCATCCAATGGGACAGTGCCAGGTAAAGGTCAGAAACTATAGCAGATGGGGCTGCCTGAGCTCCAGTGCCCTGTCCGGGGCATGGGAGGAGGGCAGTTGGTCCCAGGTACCCCAGCACCAGGTGTCAAGTCCCCAGCAGGTGTCAGATGGCAGCACAGAGACCTCCATGTGTTTTAGTACCTGTTACTGCGTAACCAGTGAGTGGCTTCAACAGCAAGCATCTCCCTCTCTGATGGTCAGGGCGTGGGAGTGGCTTAGCTGGGTGGCTCTGGCTCAGGGTTCTCGGGAGGCCTGGCGACTTGCTGAGGCCTGGAGTGAGCCGTCCCCAGGTGGCTCACTCACAGGAAATGGCTGTTGGCTAGAGGCCTCAGTTCTTCACCATGGGGCCTCCACAGAGCTGCCTGAGTGTCCCTACAACATGGCAGCCGGCTTCCCCCAGAGCAGGTGATCCAAGACGGGGAGCGAGAGGAGACCCAGCCGGAAGCCAGAAGCCACAGTGCCTCCTCGTGACCTGCTTTTCCAAGTTGAGCAGCATGTCTTCTGCCTCATCCCAGGGCGTAGGTCAAGTCATGGAGTCCAGCCCACATTCCAAGGGAGGGAAATTAGGGTCCCCCTTTGGAAGGGAAGAGGATCAAAGAATTAGGGGCCTGTGTTTAAGACCACCACACTGGGGGTGCTGCCTCAGCTGGACCTGCCTCTGGTTGGGGTCCCAGCGTTGGTCCTTGAAGACCCCACGGGGCAGAGCTGCAGTGACGTAGACCAAGTACACAGACCTTCATTGTACCGTCAGCGCCTGCATACCTGTATCCAGCTGTGCCCCTCATGCTGATCGATAGGTAGAACATTGCCATCACCCCAGAAGGTTCCTTTGAGACCTTTTCCAATCAATACCGGTTAAAGCTAGTTATTCTTCTATCGGTTCGTTTAGTCCAGTGGTTCTCAACCTGTGCGTTGCGACCCCTTTGCCTGTCGAACGTCCCTTTCACAGGGGTTGCCTAAGACCATCGGAAAACACATACATAATTACATATTGTTTTTGTGATTAATCACTATGCTTTGATTATGTTCAATTTGTAACAATGGATTTGGGGGTCACCACAACATGAGGAACTGTATTAAAGGGCTGCAGCATTAGGAAGGTTGAGAACCACTGGTTTAGTCTCTTGACCTTCATATGCACAGAGGCATACAGTGTGCCAGCGCCTGTTACTTCATATCTGCGATTCGTCCTCATTAGTGGTGTGTCAACAGTTGGCTTTTTTCACGCTGTGTGATGCTCCGTGGTCTGGATGTACCACAGTTAGTGCCCGTCCTCCTGTTGATGGGCATCTGGGTTGCCAGTGTTGGGAATGAAGCTGTGTTGAGTATTCTCGTACATGTCTTTGATGGACATGTGTTCTCTCTTCTCTTGGGGACATACCTACACAGGCCTCCAAATGCCCATCTGTGCCTGAGATGGCCCTCTCTTAAAGAGTGGTGCACAGCCCTGGGCAGTGTGGCTCAGTTGGTTGGGCATCGTCCTGTGTACCAAAAGTTTGCCGGTTTGATTCCCTGTCAGGGCACATGCCTGGGTTGCGGATCGATCCCCTGTAGGTGGCGTGCAGGAGGCAGCCAATCAATGTTTTGCTCTCATATCAATGTTTCCTCCCTTCCTTTCTCTCTAAAAGTCAATAAACTATTTTTTAAAAAATAAAAGCAGTTAAAAAAGCCTGGTGTACAGTAACCAAACTCACAAGATACTGATGTATAGGTCAGAAGGTTGATGTATGGCTCAAGGTGGGGAATTATGGCAGGAGGTGTGGAAACCCGGGTGCCCCTGTGGGGAAGCCATGTGGAAGCCAAGTTGTAGTCTTAGGTTCGTTCAGCAGCGCACGTTCTCTAACTGGGGAGCTGGTGGGATGATTTTGGAAGCCGAGCCCCCTGCCCGGGGCAGGCTGGGCAAGCTTCCCCTGGGGGACCGACCCACCAAGGAGCCCCGTCCCTGGCGCTTGTTCCGGGTTGCAGTCTGTGCAGCGTTACCTGCCTGCTTGGGGCCGCGTGCAGGATGCCCAGCCCCACGCATGGCCCAGTGCGTCCTCTGGACAGGTGGCCGGCTCTGCCTCGCTCTGGGGATTCCTCTTCTCTACCCTCAAGGGAACTGCCCGCTTCCCAGGGCCCATTCTCCCTCTAGGTAAGTGAGGAGCATCGGGCTGGGTCTTCCTGAGGGGGAGACGTTCAGTCTTTTGGGGAGACCTCTGCAGTATCTGACGACATTGGCCAGAGTTACTATCTCTAAATGAATCCCCTCCTGATCCCCTCAGGTGGTGCCTGTTCCTCGGAAAATTGTAGGAACAGATGTGCTGGGAGGCAGTTGGGTGTGAAGGGACTCAAGGTCAGGCACAGAGGGCATCTGGGGACTGTCACCACGGGAGGGCCCCGCCCCCAGGAGAGGGGCCTCCTGACTGCAGTGGGGGCAGAGCTGTGTGCGAAAGATAACGGGCATTGGTGACATCAGACCTGGGCCACCCCAGCACCTGCTCCCATGCTTCCCGAGCCTCAGTTTCCTCATCTGTGAAATAGGACCAACAACACCTGACTTGCAGGTTTTGTAGGCTGCACTGGGATGACATCAGAACCATGTATACACAGCGGCCCACACGGTGCACGGAGGGTCCCCAGCGGCCCCCCCGCCCCCCGGGGCTTGTCTCCTCTCTGCTGTGCTCTGGCCATGGAGACGCTGAGCTGGAGGACACCTGTCCCTGCCGTGTGGCCAGAGGCTGGAGCTTGACCCGCACGTCCCGAGTCCTGTTTCTTCTCCCCGGGGGCTCAAGAAAGCACTCGCGTTCCAGCTGCGCGCTGTGCGGGGCGGGTGGGGCTCGGTCCCTCCTGTGGCGCCGCGTCCAGAGTAGAGGGTTTATCTGATTCGACTGCTGAGCTGGGACGTTTTCCAGGCACACCTGGGGGTGGGGGGCCTTCTCCCCTCTGTCTTCGGAGGAAGTCGCCTTGGCACATCCCAGGTGCGGGGGAGGCGAGGGGCAGGAAAGCTCCACGGGGCTTCGAGCTTTGACAAGACCCCGCTGCTGGGGGCCGTGAGCCCGGGTGATGAATGGCCCTGCTGCCCTGTTCGCAGAGCCCGGCCCCGGCATTACCAGCCCTGCCCACCTGCCTTCTCCGGAAGAGGAGCCCCCTCCGCGCCGGCCTGCCCTCCCCTTTCTGAACGGCGACTTGCAGGGCGCCACAAAGACTTCTTAAAACACATCATTGAATTCCCGCTCGCCTGCTGCACTTTATGGCTCTGGCGCAGCCTGCTTCCTCCAGCTCAGAAGCTTTGTCTGGGGTCAGGCCTCCCCATCAAAATTTACTGCAAACACCTTTCTACAGCACCTGTCTCACTGAGCTGTGAAATGCGCTCGCCTCCAAAACAGAAAGAAAATTAAAACCTGTGTTGTACATCTCTTATCAGAAAAATAAAACTCACTGTGCTTTAAGTCTGCATCTGTCTTTCGGGCAAAAGGAGATGGACGATGTTATAAATGTGTGGGGCACGTGTCCAGCCGAAGGGCCCCGCTTCTCCCGGGGCGCATGAGGCGGGCCTGGGTGCCACCGGCGGGAAGTGGGGGTGACCAGGACACTGGGTGAGAATCGCTGTTGTCTTCTCCTCCCTCGGGAGTCAGAGACCAGTGTGTGTAGCTCCTCCGATCAGCCCGGCCGAGACCTGGGGTTGAGGACAGGGTGCCCCCATGCTGACCTCGAGGGGTGCGTGCTTGGGGACCATGGGCTGGAGGGACAGGCCGACATGTGTCCCCAAGGTTGGCGCCCAGCGCTGGTGGCAGAGCTGGGAGCTCTGGTTGTCTTCCTCTGTTGTCTCTGAGAAAGTGTGTGGGGGGGGTCTTTTGGACTTGGCTGGAGAGGGGCTGTGCAGGCCATGGTCACTCAGGCCATGGGTGGGGGTGCGCGGGATGGGGCAGGAGAGAGTGAGCGCTGGGCCGCATCCTGCCCAGGCCTGCCCGTGGCTGGGCAAGGCTTCTCTGCTTCTTCTGTAAAGGCGGGTGCTGGCATCTGCCAGATGGTGTTGGCTAGGGGACCTGAGCCACCTCCGGACACCCAGACTGAGGGCCTCAGCTCCCGGGGCCTGTGGGCTCGGTGGGCTCGGTCTGGGTCCCTGCTGCCCAGTCTCCATGTCACAGCAGGTGCATTGACTCTGGCCCCGGGTGCAGCCGGCTGGGAGTCCCGCACGTGGGCGGGGCCAAGGCCTCAGAGGGGGGATGTCTTTGGTCACAGTTGTGCAAGGTGACAAATATGGGGACCCAGATAATTTAAAAAGCTCCTCTACTCACTGTGCCCCAAGTTGAAAAAAAATCCCCCCGAATTGTGTCTTGTTTTGTTTTGCTCCCTTGAGTCTTACCCCTCCAGGCGGGAGTGCTTGTCCCCGAGGTGCGTGCTGCATTTTACCGCTGACTCAGCGCTTTCGCCGCCAGCTGCTCAGGCGCAGCCAGCCCAGGCTCCAGGAGGGCTGGCGTGTCCCTGTTCTAGAGACGAGAAAACTGAGGCGCAGAGAAGCCGGTGCCGCCTGTGAACGTGACGCTGGGCGTGGCGAGCCCCAGCCTGTGGGACGAGGAGCAGGAAGGACCACAGCAGCGGCCTGGCCGGGCTGGCCTGCCCAGCGCCCCCTCTGCCTCTCGTGGGAGCCTTTGTTTCCAGCCCAGCCGTTCCAGATCCCTCCCCGTGTCTCCGCCCACAGGCTCCCTCCTACCTCAGGGCTTTGGTACATGCGGTTCCCTCTGCCCCGAAGACTGTTCTCTTAGAAAACCTGTCCTCCACCTCCAGGTCTCAGCTCGCTCGCTCACTGATTCAGCCCACGGCATTCACACGTGCCATGCACGGTGCCAGGTGGCGGGGATCCGGCGTAAACAGGACAGATCCAGTGTGGCTAAGGTCAAGTGAGGAGTGAAGGGAGTCAGGGAAGGCTGCTCTCGGGGGGCGGGTAGGCAGGGAGGAGGAAGGCCAGGCGCGGGCACAGCCGGTTCAAAGGCCCTGAGGCAGGGCACAGCCTGGCTGTGGAGGAGCGCAGAGGTGACCTGCTTGGCTGCCTGGCCGAGGTGCAGGGGCAGAAGGACCTGTACGGGGAGGGCCGCACGGGGGGAGGCCAGGGAGAGGCAGGCCTGCTACTTGGCCATGGTGAGGACGCGGATTTTGAAATGAGCTTTAAGTAGAGCGATGGCTGCCGACATGTTCCTAAGCTCCCTGGGCTGCTGTGTGAGGAACCGACGATTGGGTGGACACGGGGAGTCGATTGGGTGGACACGGGGAGTCGCTGGGAGTTGGGGGCTTGGAGGGGTCTAGGGAGTGACAAGGGAGGCTCGGCCCTGGCAGGGTGAGCAGAAGGCTTGGTTTCGGGGGGACTGTGGGGATAAGTCTGACAGCTCAGAAGATGCTGAGGGGCTGGAGGTGCGGCCCTGGGATTGCGAGCATAAAGAAGGTCTGACTGCGAGGCATCGCTGTGAAGACTGGGGGGGGTGTGGATGAAGGCGGAGGGAGAAGGTACTGAGAGGGGGGCCAGCGAGCCAGGCGGGGTCCAGGGAAGGGGCTTCCTGATGGGGACGAAGGGGCTGGAGGTGCCGAGTGAACAAGGGAGGACAGGAAGGGCCACTGCACTGGGCCCCGTGGCCCGTGGTGTCTCTGACCTTGGCCTGGATGGAGAGGTGGGGCCAGACCGTCCTGGTCGGAGGAGCATGGGAGGGAGGAAGTGTAGACAGTGGAGGAGGGGGGCAGAGAAACGCCACAGCTGTGGGGCGTGGAATGTGGGGTCGAGGGAGGGCTTTGTTTTAAAAGATGGAACAGCAGAGGGTGTGGAGGGGGAGCTGCCGGAGCTAGTCCTCCGGAAGGTGAGCCAGGTGGCCTTCACGCCCAGTGACTGAAAGGGAGGACTAAATGTTGATAGGGCGAGTGGGGGAGGCTTGGGAGAGGGGAGATGGAAGAGGGCACCCCCTTCTGAAGCAGCACCTGGATGCGTGGGAAGACAGGCCACCAGGGGGAGGTCAAGAGTTTATTTCAGCGGTTCTCAACCTTCCTAATGCCGCGACCTTTTAATACATTTCCTCATGTTGTGATGAACCCCAACCATAAAATTACTTATCCATGGCAGAGTGACATCACTAAAGACGGCTAATGCCGAAATATCAAGTCCTGCCCTGAATGCGTCCCAAATACCACTAGTTTAAGTCTATTTCATGGTCGGTAGTGACACACTGAGGAGACCTCTGCAAAGTATTTTTTTAAAATATATTTTTCTTGATTTCCTAGAGAGGAAGGGAGAGAGCAGAGAGAGAGAAACATTGATGAGAGAGAATAAGTGATCGGCTCCCAACTGCACGCCCCACATTGGGGATCGAGCCCACGCCCCTGAATATGCTCCTGCCCGGGAACCCCTTCCCGTCCTGGCCGCCTCCCTCTCCTCTCGGAGTCTCCCAGGTCCCCTGGGCTGGGTCCGGTTCCCTGTGCCAGCCCCCAGCGCCTTCCCCGCCCGCCTGGACGGCTTGCTGGTTCTGAGCCTGGTCGGCCTGTCTCCTGGGCCGGATTGTGGGTTCTCCAGGGCCAGGGCCACGTCTGCCTTGTTGGCTGTTGTATCCTCAGCACCAGGTTCAGTACCTGCACTTCGTAGGTGTCTGTGGAAGGGTGCGGCGTGGCTGCCAGAAAGTGGGGTTCTGGTTTGAGCCACGGGTGCTAGGAGCCTTTTATAATCGCCCCGCCTTAGAGTTGAGCCGGGCCACGACCTGGGGGCCTGCGTCCGTGAGGAGCTGAGGCTTGGAGGCGCCTAGTGACTTTAGCAGGAAAAGGGCAGGCACCCCAGGGGCCAACCTGTCTCTTGAATACCTGCCCCTTGCAGCCATCTCCCCAGAAGGCTCGGGGGGCACCCCCTTCTCTCCCACCACTGCTCTAAGGCCCTCCCACCTCTGCACACTTTCTGGTGCTTTTGGAGTCCCTTGTCTGTGACCTTTGCTGGTTATTGTCCCCCAACCTCCCCATGGTCAGGGGAGACTGCTCCAGCTGGAGAGTGTGTGGTCAGGGCAGTGAGGCCGGGCTGAGCACCTGGGTACCGCGTGGGCTCAGGCCAGCAGGGGGCGCTCACAAGCCAGGAGCCTGGACCAGGGCTCAGGCTTCTGAGGGCTCCTCTGGGCTCGTCTGGGCTCCTCTGCCTGGTGCCTCTCCAGGGGAGCTGGCCTGGGCGACCCAGCAGGCACCTGTGGGGTGGGGGGAGCTCTCATGTACTGGGGGGCTGCTGTAACGGGCAGCAGGCTGCTTGGCTCCCGGTGTCCTGAGCCTACACCTAATGACGATGATGGTGTCTGATGGATCATGTAACTGATCGGTAATGTGACCCGCTGATGTAACTGATTGATCACGTAACTGATTGATCATATAATGGACTGATAATGTAATCAATGGATGATGTAACTGACTGATAATATAATTGATTCATTGTCACCAACCTGCTTGGCCTGAGCATGTGTAAGCTTGAAATTACTCTGCAAGAGGTGTCTTAATCCCCACTGTGTACATGAAGAAATGAGGGGCCTAGAGCTGTGGGCGCAGCTGGAAAGTGGCTGAGTTGATTTCTGAACTCTGGTCTGTTTGCTGGAGGGCTGTGCTCGCCTCCCGGGGCCTCAGTTTCCCCTCCTGAACAAAGAGGGCAGGGCAGGGTGTCCCAGGGGCCTCCAGACCCGAACGCCCAGGTGGAGCCTGTGGGAGGAATGGACTCCCAGGGCTGGTTTTCATCCTGGACGTGGTGAGAGTCCCGAGACCGTGGGGGTGGGGGTGGGGAAGCCCCCCGTCTGCCACCGCCCTGCCGGCCTTGACTGTCCTTCCTGCCCACCCCGCCCCGCCCCGCAGCGTTTCTGAAGGGCCTGAGTGACAAGCAGCGGGAGGCGAGAGTCCCGAGACCGTGGGGGTGGGGAGGCCCCCCGTCTGCCACTGCCCTGCCGGCCTTGACTGTCCTTCCTGCCCACCCCGCCCCGCCCCGCAGCGTTTCTGAAGGGCCTGAGTGACAAGCAGCGGGAGGAGCACTACTTCTGCCAGGACTTCATCCGGCTGAAGAAGGTCCCCACCTGGAAGGAGACGGCGAAAGGTAGGCCTGCGGGGGTGGCCCCTGCGACCGCACCTCGGAGAACCTTCCGGACGAGGCCAGGAAGAGTGGCAGCCGCGGGTGCTGAGTGCTTGCCGTGTGCAGGGCACTGTGCATGCGTCACCTCATTTAATTAGTAGCACGGCCTGAGGCGGGTTTGGTTTTTATCCCCATGACATCCTTAGGAGGCTGTGCCCAGATCCACCATCACCTGGCTGTTGAGCCAGGATTTGTGGCTGCGGTGGCGTGGCTTGCGGGGCGTGTGCCGGTGAGCGCCCAGGCCCCGCACATGGTAGCCCTGGTAACTGGTAACCTGGGCAAGTCACTTAACCCACCTGGGCCGCAATTCCACATCTGTGAAATGGGGAGGGCGCTGCTAATACTGCACAACATTGCTATAAAGATTCAAGACTGGATGTGTGCTGCACATAGTAGGCGCTTAGTCGAGGGCTGCCATCACCAGGGATTTCAGTCCCCCCGGACCAGCTGCCTCCAGAGGTGGAGGGCGCTGTTCGGGCGCCCGGCCTGTGGGCACTGGCGGTCACTCTGCAGTGACGGGCTCTCTCAGCCTCTGCTTGTTCCAGGGCTGACCGTGAAGGTGGAGGAGCCCAAGTACAAAAAGGACAAGCACCTCAACGAGAAGATCTCCCTGTTCCGCGGCGACATCACCAAGCTGGAGGTGGACGCCATCGTCAACGCCGGTGAGTGGCGGCTCCTGGCTGGCCCGAGCCAGAGACCTGGCGGCCGGTCACCTTCGCTCTGGTCTGCTGGGCCCCGCACGGGGACACCACCGGGCTCCAGCGAGGCCCGGGTGGCCGGAGTGTCGGCTGAGTGGATGCCTGTTCTCTTGAAGCCCTGACCTCTGTGTCGGGGCGCCTTGGCTGCGCTGCCTCACGGCTCCGAGACCCATTAGCGGCCGGGAAGAGAGAGCCTGGCTGGAATTGCGCCGGGCTGCGGGCAGCCTTTCCAGGAAGGCGGATGCCCTGACCACCGCTTCCTTCCTCCCCTGCCCGCCCCTCACTGTCAGACCTGGAGTAGGCGGGCAGCTCACGGAGGAAGGGTGGGGGCAGAGGCCCGGTGCCCCAGGCTCAGCTTCCCGTGGTGACTTGCTGGCGTGGCAGTTTATTGTGATGAGTCGGGGAGTCTGCTGTCTGTCCCTCTAGAGCGGGGAGGAAGGTGGCTGCTCTCCCAGGCAGTGGCTGTCTGGCCAAGGTCAGAGCAGGTGTCAAGGGGCGGTCACGTCCAGGTGTGCGGGTGGTTCACCCACCCCTCACTCCCTCGCTCGCAGGACGTCACAGCAGGGAGCCCCTTTCTGAGAGCGAGGTCTGGGGACCTGGGCGGGCTCACAGGGAGACCCTGCAGTCTCCGGCACCCCCAGAAGCATCTCCAGTCTCCTTCCTCTCACCCTTGGGCTTGTGTCTGATGCCAGGCTGGCCAGGGAGTGGGTCGTCGAAGGATTCTGGGGCATGGTAGTGCCAGTGCTGACTGGCTAAGTGACGAGGCTGCCCGGGGCCTGCTTGTTTGTGGTCTGGGTTGCGTTTCTGGCAGCGGTCTCATTCTGTGTGACCCCTTCTTGATGTCGGCAGGACTGTGCAGTCCCACGGTGTTCCTGCCCCCACATTGCCGGTCTCGGTACACAGGTGACGAGGCACACGAGTTCTGACTCCGCGCAGCAGCAGCCTGGGTCACCTCCGAGTTCCTTTTGCTGTTTTTGCTCATTTCCCTGGGCCCCTAGGGTGGCCACGAGGTCTGTGAGTCCATCTGGGGAGCCATGGAGCTAAGACTCGCCAAGCTGGGCTGGCAGATGTCACGGCAGCCCCGAGGAGAGGGGCGTTCTTGCTGCCTCGACCCAGGAGGGGTTGGCTGGGGGCAGGAGGACCACGCCCTGGGGCTGTGGCTGAGGGGACAGTCCCACAGGCCCAGGAGGCTGCCCTGCCCAGTGCCCGCCCCCCCTTTCAGTCGCTGGCCAGGGTGTGGGAGGCACCCTGCTGGCACTTTCCATGCTGAGCAGCAGAATGGCCGGAAGGGAAAGTGGGGCATCTTATCAGCTCCTTAGCGGCTGAGTGGGTGGTTGGGGGGCCGGGAGGGAGGGTGGGAGGACCCAGGCAGGGCGTCGGTGGGATACAGATG